TCATCTTTTTTGGATTAACGTTGAAGCTTTTATTGCTCATAATATTTTGAAATCACTTTCCTTATCTTATACACATGTGATAGTGGGTTATTATGTTAAGGATCGCTCTTTAAAAGATGCTGGTTTTATCATAAACTTTATTTTATTATTATGTAAATGTTACATACATAAATCCAAGTTTGCCAAAAGCAAACCTCTCTTCATAGTGCTAGAAAAAGAGATTCAAATGTATATACAGTAAAAGTGATTTCTAAGTCTAAAAATAGCAAAGCAATTGAAACAGTTAATACATGCTCCTCCTTTAACATTTTTGCATGAAAAGGTTTGTATATATGCATTTCCTTTAGTAAAAATGCCGATAATAACTCTTGTTAATAACTAAAAATGGAAAAATGTGTCTAATATAGTATGTGATTTAGTAATTATGTACCCTCTCCTCTGTGTTTTTTTTCTTATTGTTTCTTTTTTTTTTTTCTTCTCTATTACTCTTGTTAAGAAATGTGCTTTTGTTGTATAAGAAAACTGCACACGCTGGTTCTTGTTAATGATAATAAAAAATAAAAATAAAAACTCCAGTGGGAGTAGGTTGGTTTAAGGCTAGAAGGATTACAGCTGTGGTTACTGAACAGGTTAGGGTTAGGGACGCCAAACAAACATGAATCAACTATCACAGATGAAAATGTACCGTGTTGTTGGACTCATCTGCCCCAAAAATGTACATGTGAACACAAAAAAAGGACGTCAACTGACTGAAATGAGAGAGCAGGTTTTTGCATCTGCATGAGATCATGTCTTTGAATAATCTAGCTCCTGTTTATCTAACCCCCCTTCTGTCTCGCTACAATCCAACTCGCTCTTTAAGATCTCAAAACTCAGGGCTTCTAGTAGTACCTAGAATAGCAAAGTCAAGTAAAGGAGGTCGAGCCTTCTCATTTATGGCTCCTAAACTCTGGAATAGCCTTCCTGATAACATCTGAGGCTCATACACACTCTCCCAATTCAAAACTAGATTAAAGACCTATCTGTTTAGTAAAGCATACACTCAATGCATCACTTAGCGGTTTTCCACACAAGTTTCTACATCTTGTTTATTTACACTATGAATAGCAGTTATGCTGGTTATTTTCTTTATTCTCCATTTCAGGCCCGTGCAGATACCGTCCAAAGGGCATGTGCAGGATAAATTTTTGGAAGAGGGGGTGGGTAGGTGGGGGGGGGGGGGGGGGGGGGGTTTGGTTGGGTGTGCGGGGGGGGAGGGGGTAGTGCTGCAGATCTGCAGAGTGGAAGAGTGGATGCGCGCGTACTGAAGAGCGGTGTTATCGCATGCGTACTGATCAGCTGTGTTGTCGCGCGTGTACTCAAGAGCGGTGTTGTTGCGCGCCTACTGAAGGGCAGGACGGAGGGTGTGCCGTGTCGCGGGGGCACTTTTGATCATTTTGGAAGGGCATTTTCTATCCAAAACTAAAAAGGGCATGTGCACTGCACAGGTTGAGCCCTATGTGTGCACGTGTCTGCTCCATTTCCACCTGGTGATACTCTTCCCGAGGCCCTCAGACGATGCAGAGTCACTGATTCGATCCAAGACCAGCGACGAAATGATCCCAAGGTTTCCATATCCTGGACCAGGCCTTATCCTGAGCAGCTGCTGCGGTGGTCATGGAGGAGTGGAGAGCATGAGACTGATTCCAGTGACGCTCCAGGTACAGACGAGTCTTCGCTGAGGCCAGCTCCCAGCCTCCGCCGCTGAGACTGCAGCTCTCCACAAGACGTTTGGCCAGCGGAGAAATTAAAATGGTCGTGCCCAACTGAGTCTGGTTTCTCTCAAGGTATTTTATTTTTATTTTTCGCCAATCGGTGAAGTTTTTTTTTCCCTCTCCGCTGTCCCCTCTAGCTTGCATGGTTGAGCTACCCATCGATGAACCACACTGAACTGAACTGAACTGAACTGAACTTAAACACTAAAAAAACTGAACTGCACTGTTCCAATTTACTATGACCATTTATGTGAAGCTTGTTTTGACACAATCTACATTGTAAAAGCGCTATACAAATAAAGGTGAACTGAATTGAATTGATTGTCTTTCTGCACCCACATTGGGCTGTAGTCTGTTTTCTCATTCCACAAAGGGAAACCGGAAGATGAAATGGACATTTCAATTGGTAATTTTCATGGAGAGATTGACATGTGTCTGATAATAAAATATTCTATATTGTTTGCAAATATTTGAGAAATGTAGCTACATTTTAGCCTGCTTTTTGTGTTCCTTCTTGACTTGAATTGTTAACTTGGGTACGTCACTTCAGTTTGAATTGTTGCTGATGAATAACCAATCAGACCCCTTTCTTCAGCCAATGGCTGACACAGATTCTATATGCTAAATCGGGCCTACTCAATTTGACGTTAATCAATTGAGAGGTGATGTGTGGAACACACCAAACCAACTACCCAGACTGAAGCTAGCAACAGCCCATCAAAATCCAATAGCTGATGGCTTGGTGTGTCCTGTACCTGTGTCCTGTACCTGGTGTAAGTTTAGGGTTGGGGTCAGTGTAGACTTTAATAAAGCACAATAGGCTACAGTAAGGGGTTGGTTTAATAATAATAATATATTTTATTTGAAGGCGCCTTTCTGGCAGCTTAAGAACACCGTATAACAAAACAAGAGAAAACAACAGGAGTAGGTGTAGATATGAATAAAACGCAATATATTACTGTAAATCGTGCAGTAACCTATTGCGTTTTAATAATGTTTAGGATTGTGGTAGGTTTAGAGGTGGCTCTAATACAGTGTATCTTCTCCACTTTTGGCTAGTGTGTGGTGTGTGCACTGGCGCTATTGTTCCATGCCTGCCATCACATCATCCAGGTGCATGCTGGTGGTGATGAGGAGATATTATATGAGCGCAAAATAAAAAACAGTAAAGTGATATAAAATTGCCTCATTCATTCAAAAATAAATAGACTGAAAATAAATAAATACATAAATAAATAGAAAATAAACAATATATTTTTAAGCTGTTGTTCCCCAAGATATTTGCACATTATTATTATTATTTTTTTGTGAGAGTGACTACTGATGGTCATTTATTCATTCATTCATTTTCTTTTCGGCTTAGTCCCTTCATTAATCTGAGGTCGCCATAGCGGAATGAACCGCCAATTTATCCGGCACATTTTTACGCAGCAGATGCCCTTCCAGCCACAACCCATCCCTGGGAAACCCATACACACTCATGCACACATATACACTATGGCCAATTTAGCCTACCCAATTCACCTGTACAGCATGTCTTTGAACTGTGGGGGAAACCGGAGCACCCGGAGGAAACCTACGCGAACACAGGGAGAACATGCAAACTCCACACAGAAATGCCAACCGACCCAGCCGAGGCTCAAACCAGCGACCTTCTTGCTGTGAGGCGACAGCAATACCTACCGCGCCACTGCGTCGCCACTACTGGTGGTATGATGAGAATGCAATGAGTATGATGTCACAAATATGCAAAAGTGGCACTAACAAGCAGTAAAAACAAATGTTATGTAAATAAATTATGTTCTGTGTGTAGCTTGATAGCAGCACAGTGGCGCAGTGGCCAACGCTCTCGCCTCACAGCAAGAAAGTAGCTGGTTCGAGCCTCAGTCGGCATTTCTGCATAGAGTTTGCATGTTCTCCTTGTGTTCGAGCGGGTTTCTTCCAGGTGCTCCGGTCTCCCCCACAAGTACAAACACATGTGCTATAGGTGAATTCGGTAAGCTAAATTGTCCGTAGTGTATGTATGCCCACATAGCAAAATTTCTCTGGCCCAGCTCTGGCCCACACAATCAGCTTTTGCTTGGCCCACATGCTGAAGTGAATTACGGTACATCACTGGACCAAGTCTTGTTTCCAGACAAGGGCCTAACATGGACCATATCTGAGTCAAGTCTCAGCCAAGTTAATAACCCATAACTGGGTCTGGCCTGGGCCAGATATGTTGGTGCATCACGACGGCTATAAAATATAACCCCATGAAGCATTGCGTTTTAGGCACACTTTGGGCTTGGTTTTTCTCAAACTTCTCAGTCAAGACAGGCTAAACTTACATGGCCCACATATAAATTATTAACATCTGGGCCAAATACTACATTTTACATTTGGCCCAAGTATTGTGTGCTGCCTTAAAGACGGTGCCACCTCTGCTAAACTCGGGCCACGTTTAGCCCACATGCTGTATGCCAGTGCCAGATAAACGCCTGCTTTGCCAGCTTTATGCCAAACCTGGGCCAGAATTCTTTGCTACCTGGGTGTGAATGGAAGTGGATGGCTGTTTTCCAGTGATGGGTTGCAGCTGAAAGGGCACCTCTGCTAAACTCGGTGCCACCTGCTAAACTCGGTGCCACCTCTGCTAAACTCGGGCCATGTTTAGCCCACATGCTGTATGCCAGTGCCAGATAAACGCCTGCTTTGCCAGCTTTATGCCAAACCTGGGCCAGAATTCTTTGCTACCTGGGTGTGAATGGAAGTGGATGGCTGTTTTCCAGTGATGGGTTGCAGCTGAAAGGGCATCCACTGCGTAAAACAGATGCTAGATAAGTTGGCAATTCATTCTGCTGTGGCGACCTCAGATGAATAAAGGGACTAAGCCAAAAGGAAAATTAATGAATGAGTGTAGCTTGTGACATCAACTTCATTATGAATAGGTGAGCACCTTATATGCACTAATTTGCACTGTGGTCAGAACTAGATGAATGTCAGCTCATACAACATGTATACTGTATAATACTGTATACATCTAAATGTTCTTTCAATTACGCACTATGGATTCGGTGGAAACAAACACTTCTTGCAAAGTTATATAAGAGCATGTATGGTCAAGTACTGGGTGCACAGTTGATTTCATGACTTAGTGGTGTCTGTGTATTTATAGTTCCTGATAAAGTGTCCAACCCATTTCAATCACCCCATTGCCCAACACAGGGGGAGTAATCCAATAAAGAGGAGCACAAGAGTCGCTCCTCCATCTCTCAAGAACTAAAGACGCATAGCACATCACATCACACCACTCCTCTCCTCTCCACGGGACAGGCAAGTTAAGCATCGCAACAATTATAACCTCTTCTCTTCTCTTCTCTTCTCTTCTCTTCTCTTCTCTTCTCTTCTCAATGGTTCTCTATCATGTTCTTTTCTGTACATTGTATTTAAGTGCATAGGAAGCCATTTCACATAGTCTCTGTTCTGTCAGTTTTATATCCTGTGTATTCCAAAAAAAATTGTTTCAGGTTTTTATTTAAAAAGAATATTCTATATATAAATGTACAGATGGTTTACTTTTATACAATATATATTAATTTCAATGACTCAACCATATTTGATCAATTAAAATGAATGTAAGAATGAACAATTGCTTCAGAGTAAGGAGCTGAAAATAGCCTGTATTTAAAAAATATCAACATGATCACTGTTGCTTAAATGCAATTGTGGACATCCCAGGGTTTTGTAAAACACATTTAGTACAAGTACATTTTCGTTTTGAGATTACATTTGTAAGAAACGTCCTTTTTTGGCTTCTTTACAACCACCTGTCAGTCCATTATCCAGTTATGGCTGAAAGCTTCTCTTGTAGTCTTTAATTAGCTGCACGTTTCCATGTGTCACTTGTGGTCTATTTGGAAAGGATTGGATTTGTTTGGGGCTTCATTAAGTTTCAGAAGTAGTTCACATGACTCTCCTGAGTCTTCAGCTAAGCTCTTGCCTGTGTCAGTCTTATTTAACCCAATCTCAGGCACTGTGTATGTATATGTGTGTTTGATTGAAATTAGGGGAGGGAAATGGCTCTTTACTGATAGTAAGAGACATGCAGGAGACAGCTGGAACTACAGAGAGTTCTCTTGATATGGTGCCAGTGTTGGTGCCAGACTGAGATCAAAGAATCCACTCAAAAACAACAGGGAGATGTAACAAGTGTTCACAGTGCCGATTTAGGTGACTGTGTGTATCTGTTGTTGAGTTATTTCGAGGGTCATAGTGATGATGACATATAACAATGTTCAAATTGGCCTTGTATTTACTGTAACATTGATACAAGAGCGACACCTTGATATCAAAATGACATCAAGTTTAACATTGACATTAAAAACATTAAAAATCCCAGTCGATTTGACATTCACACATTGATGTGCTTTTGACCACCAAAAATTCATTCATATGAAAGCTTAAATTACAAATTGACTTATTTTTCATCCCTACAATTTATTTAAACTATATTGATGTCAAAAAGACATCAAATAGACATCTTTTCGTCAAAAATAAATAAATAAATAAATAACATTTCAATTCATACAAATCTAATTGTACAATTTTGTATGATTTGCTCATCACCCAATGATGGTTGGGTTTAGGGGTGGGGTTGTGTGCCATGCCTTCTTTCTATAATCAGACATTTTCATACGTCTGAACTCGTACGAATTTGTACGAATTAGCCAATAAAGTGACAAAACAAAAAAAACGTACGTTTTCTCGCCAGATCAGGCTGGTCGTCCTGTCCTGTAATACAATTTTTGAAATGTTTCTTAATGCTGATGTTTGATATCAATTTGATGTCTTTTTAAAATCAATGTAGCTAATTGATATCAAATTGATTAGCATTTTTGACTCTTTTTTTTATGTGTAATTGACATCAACATATCGGATGAACACACTGTGAGGATGTTTCCTGAATAGAGCAGCTTTATAACAGCTGTTCACCAAGTTACAGAAGTGGTAAAGGGATCCAAATTAAAACTGCATTTACTCCAGGTGGAAACCATTTGAAATTGAATCACCAAATTTAATCATTTGCAGGTGTCAAAGAGAGACTGTCAATAAGGCATGATTCTCGGACCTTCTGTCTTAAATTAAAATCTCACTTTAATGTGGTTTGATGGCTATAGCTTGAGGTTAGATATTAGAAGGTTGCTGGTTCTCCAATATACAAACCAAAACTTATACTAGGGTTGTGTGCTTAATCAAATTTCAGTGTCAGTGTCAATTTTGGCTTCAAAACATCATATACATCATGTTTCACACTCAAACAGTTGGTTTTGAGCTGTTTTGGAAAGTTTTGAAAACTTATTTTTCTACATTTCCCTTAAATGTAACCACAAAACACTTTAGCCAAGGAGTGTTTTTGAAACTAATGTATTGTCATGCTTGTTTTTTCATTCGGTTTACCATCATGATCCAGATTGTGTGGGTCTATTCAGTAAAATACACATTAGTAAGTTAGTTAACTTTTTTTGTCCCTGTAGGGAAATTTCATTTGCAGCATACACTTCTGACATTTCACATTTGGCATTTCATATTTAGCATATATATTTAAATAATTTATATAATATATAACTTAAAATGATTGTACCCCTACTCTAAAGAAATATCCAATCTACTAGCCATCAACTGCTACTGGGGGAAGAGGAATTAAAAAAACTTAATTGCTTGGAGTAAAAATTATGATTACTATACTCAAATTAAGACAAGTAGGTGCAAGATATATTCAGGTTTGAAAATATTTTTATAAGAATATTTTTATATTTTGTTATAAGAATAAGTTTTGTGTGCGTGTGTGTGTGTGTGTGTGTGTGTGTGTGTGTGTGTGTGTGTGTGTGTGTGTGTGTATTGTGTAAATTCTGGACTTTTTCAACACAAAGTTGAGCAAAATATGGACAAACACTATTTTTATTTATTTATTCATTTTAAAAGACATCCATATTGTTGATGCTGGCCCCAGATTTTCTTTTCAGTTCTCATATCTGAAGAATCATGTACTTGTTAAACTAAACTATTTCCAAAATGAAAATCCTATCTTAGTGCAAACATTAGCCATTCAGGCCCGCACCCAGGGTCCAGAATTTGTCCCATACTTGAGCTCAATTGTCACATTTTGACTGCTATTCCTTCATAAATTGTGAAAATAACCCATCAAAGAAGGCTTTAAGACCAAGCAGAATCCTCTGTTGGCTGTCATGATTTCAGCCAATCAGTTTTGGCCAATGCAAATATTTTTTATAACATCTGTGCAAGAAAACATACAATCTGACGAAAGTGAAGTCATCTTTTACTATACTGACCTACTGTATTGTTGTAAAATAGAGAAAACATTTTACAAGTAACTTTTATTATAAATCTTGGACCTTATTCATGAAACAAAATATTATCAATAAAAGGTGTGACTTTTAGTATAATCAGGTTATTGTTATCCATGAATTTTCAATTCAACTTTTTTAACAAGACAAAAATCTAGAGAAATTGTGAAGCTTTACATTACTATTGTTTATTTATTTGCTTATTCAAATGGGCAAATTCTAAATGAATGTCCTGGCCAGGCTGTTATTTGCTTAATGAACAAAAGCTACAATTTCAGTTTAAAAAAAAAAAATAGAAATTAGAAAAAGAACCACTCTTTTCAACAGGCTGGCTACAGACCTGCCATTGAACACTGGATAGCTAAGAAACGCAGAGCGCTTTTACTAAATTTAGTTTGTTTGTTTGTTCTTGTTTTGTTAGACTTCACTAATCCCAAAGGGAAATTCATGTCACAGCTCACAGCAAAGCTCTCCATACTAAATGTTGAAAAAATAAGTTACGTAAATATAAAAACAATAATAAAATTACATACTGCACACCTTAGTTTCAAACAACGAGTAGACTCTTGTCCATATCTAATACTATTACAATTCAGCATAATTTGTCTAGTATGATTTTGGTTATATAATCTGATCACCGTTGGTAAAAACGACTTCCTGTATCTTTCTCTGTAACACCAGGGTTAAATTAATCTTGCTCTAAAAGAGTTTGCACACGCTTGGACTAAATGAAAAAGGGGATGATTATCGAGGTTTATCATACTGACAAATTTGTCCATCATCACATGTGCAATCTCTTCTATAGTGGGTAGTACACACCACATAAGCTTATTTAATTAGTTTTTCTCCTTCTCCAACAGTTCCCTTCCACTGCAGGTTACAGCGTACAGGATCACAGAAGACACCACAGAGTCTTTAACAGTAAAAGTCTTTAACAATGTCTGACACACACCAAACCTCAGTCGTCTTCATAAAGAAATGTGACACTGACCCTTCTTATACACCAAATTGAATTTACAGACCAATTTAGCTTGTTATTCAGACCCAGCTACCTATATGATGAAGAAATCTCAATTGCTGACTCTAATCACAGGCACCGCTTGTTGTGGATGCCTTCTAAATTTTATTTATTTGGTCTTATTGGTATTTAATTTAAAAAATTTGTTTCACACTGGTCAGCAAAACTTTTTAAAAGCAGCCTACGGTATACTCACTCTCGTCATGAGTCTTTATATAAGCGACAACTGCAGAGTCATCAGAAAACTTCTGTAGATGACAATTTTTGGAGCTCTATTGAAAATCTGATGAATAGAATGCAAGTAAATATGGAGCTAAAACTGTTCCTTGAGGAACACCAGTGGTACTCATTACAACTTGCGACACACAGTTACTGTCCAAAATACTGTGGTCTATTTGTGATATAGTCAGTTAACCAAATTACCATACTTGAAGTGACCCTTTAAGATGAGTTTTAATGTGACACTGTCTGAAAAAAAGCCTCAAGGTTGGTGTGTAGATCAGAGTGTGTATATAAGCATTGTGTCCACAAATGCTAGTCTGGACACAGTTCTGAGGGATAACGCAGGAATATTAGCAGGGCTTTACTGAGGGGAGACACAACAGCTGAGACTAATACACTGGCACTCTTCCACTCTTGCTTTAGAAAGTTTGCGTCATATAGTTAGCCTTTACCTAGCAGATGTTAAGAACCGGTATTATAGGCCTACTAGTTAAGTTTCATCTAAGCCGTTCTCTCAATGGCATTTTCAATGACCCTTTCAACCTGTCTGCACTATTTAAAACTTGTTTATCTTTCAGGGATTGTTTAAAACCGGAGATGGCGGAGCGCTATGACTGCCACTACTGCAAGGAGTCTCTGTTCGGGAAGAAGTACGTCCTGCGGGATGAAAATCCATACTGCGTGAAGTGCTATGAAAGCCTCTACTCCAATACCTGCGAGGAGTGCAAAAAGCCCATTGGCTGCAACAGCAGAGTATGTTCAACTTCACATTTTCTGCTTTGCTAAACATGAATATACAGTTAAGTCCATAAATATTTGGACATCAACACTATTCTAACATGTTTGGCTCTATACACCAACATTTCAATCGATTTGAAATTAAATGAACAAGATGTGCTTTAACTGCAGACTGTCAGCTTTAATATGATGGTATTTATTGAACGGTGTAGGAATTACAACAGTTTACATATGTGCCTCCCACTTGTTAAGGGACCAAAAGTAATTGGACAGAATAATAATCATAAATCAAACTTTAACTTTTTAATAATTGGTTGCAAACCCTTTGTAGTCAATTACAGCCTGACGTCTGGAAAGCATATACATCACCAGATGCTGAGTTTCATCCCTGGTAGTGCTCTGTCATGCCTTTACTGCAGCTGTCTTCAGCTTCTGCTTGTTCTTGGGGCATTTTCCCTCCATTTTTATCTTCAGCAAGTGAAATGCATGCTCAATCGGATTCAGGTCAGGTGATTGGTTTGGCCATTGCATAACATTCCACTTCTTTCCCTTCAAAACCACTTTGTTTTTTTTTTTTGTTTTTTGCAGTACGCTTTTGGTCATTCTCCATCTACACTGTGAAGCACCATCTTTAATCATGATCTCATCTGCCCATAGGATGTTGTTCCAGCGTTGTGAAGGCTTTTTTAGAACTCTAATCTGGCTTTCCTGCTTTTAAGGCTCACCAATGGTTTACATCTGGTGGTGATCCCTCTGTATTCACTCTGGTGTAGTCTTCCCTTGATTGCTACCTCTGACAAACATACACCTACCTCCTGGAGAGTGTTCTTGATCTAGCCAACTGTTGTGAAGGGTGTTTAATTCACCAGGGAAAGATTTTTTTGGTTATCCACCACAGTTGTTTCTGTGGTCTTCTGGGTCTTTTGGAGCTGCTGAGCTCACTGGTGCGTTCTTTCTTTTAGGATTGTTCCAAACAGTTGTTCTGGCCATGCCTAATGTTTTTGCTATATCTCTGATAGTTTTTTTTTTTTACTTTGTTTTTTCACTTAAAGCAAATCTTGTTTGTTTCATTTCAAATCCATTGTGTTGGTGTATAGAGCAAAAATGTTAGAATTGTGTCAATGTCCAAATATTTATGGATTAATGTATACAGTTTAAGTCAAAATTATTATTTTCAACACATTTCTAAACAAAATAGTTTTAATAACTAATTTTTAATAACTGAATTTTTTATCTTTGCCATGATGATAGCACATACTATTTTTCTGGATATTTTTTAAAGATACTATTTAGCTTAAAGTGTCATTGAAATGCTTAACTGGGTTAGGTTGATTAGGAAAGTCATTGTAAGACATATTTGTATAAACTGGGCGTTTTCGCGAATGGGTTACTGCTGCGATGGGGGCAGGGCGGAAGATCGCGATGCCGGCTCAGCATCGTGATGTCTGTCGGCCATCGGCAATGGATGATGGCATTGTCTATCAACCCAACCTTAGTGTGAAACAAATGTATTGTTTTAGAGTATATACAGGAATCAGAGAGTGAAATTCCACACCTTTTTTAAGCCTCTTTCCATACATTTTAAGACCTTATAACCACTTTAGGTTTGAACCGGAAACACTGGCAAGATTTTAACTTACAGTAAATTTACTAAAAAATGATGCAAGAAACAAAAACATTATTCATATACTGAATAAAAATCTGTCCCACTTTAAATTGTGATGCTTATACCTATGAACTTACACGGTAACTATATGAGTAAGTAATATGTAACTACAGTGTATGTACACATTGGTACATAGTATTTACTTGTGTAATGCTGATCACATGTAAAAGTACACTGAATAGTATGTGTAAGTTCAAATGTGTAACATGACTTTTGTAACAACACAAAAAAATGACACATTTGTAACAAGAATTACATAAGTGCATTGCGTAATAACAATATGTAATAGAAATATACAAATGCCTTATGCTTATATGTTGTTATAAGGTAAATTGTAGAGTCACCTCAGTAATTCACAATTAAAGGGTAATTTACCAAAGATTGTTATTAAGTTATTAAGTTTGTTTTGTGGAATTTTAGCTATAAAATCCACATCTAAAATTTACCCTCAGTTTACTGACCCTACATTTTAGACTAGTTGTAACACAAATGCTTCCAGCTAAACAATCAGAGTACAATTACTTGCATTTCAAAACATGCCAAGTAAAATTTGTTGAGGCTTAAGGCCTGTTTACTAAATTATCAAGTATAAGTGTTTAATGCACATTTATGCATTGTGTCATATCAATAAGCTCTTACAACACTTTTTATGGAGTGAAGGGATGTCAATAAACTTCAAAAACTCTCTTATTTATGCTAATATTGATATAAAACCCTAAAATACAACTCTAAATACATCTGTCAGCCCATAAATTTCTCTACATTGATTTATTAACTTTTAATACTCTTTAAGACCCCTTTAAGACCCCTCAGACACTTAATTGCGTGAGACATGATGCATTTAAATGCATTTTGACTAGCAAATAAATTATTAATTTATTCATTCATTTTCCTTCGGCTAAGTCCCTTTATTCATCAGAGGTCGCCAGTGCTAACCACTGAGCCACCTAGTTCACAGCCCCCAAATAGCTTAAGGTCTGCATGAAATTAGACTTTGCCATGTTTATTTTGCTAGTGCACATTGTTGGTCTTAAAGTTAACAATCAATCAGTTCAAGTTAGTCCACTAACTAAAACAAACTGTTTGTTTAGGTAATCTTTAATCAAAATCCAACCATTTGCTTCTCCTCTGGAATGGAAATCCTTCTCTGATGATTAGCCACGCCCTTTCAACTGTTAGTTCGCTATGAGTGAAAGACAAGAGGAGGAGCACAGGAATAAAACCCAACCCCTACTCATTATTTTATTTCAGTTGGAAATACATCATCAAGTCTGCAGCAACTTTATGCCAAATTTTTACTCACTTAAAGGAATAGTTTATCATTTACTCACCCTTCATTTGTTCTGATAAACAAAGAGAAGAAGTTTTGAAGAAAGCTGGACATACATTTTAATATTAGACTGTAAAAAACGCTATGTTATTATTATTATTATTTGGAACCTGTTTATTTTAGTAACTGATATTTTATAAATTACTAAACTAAAAATGTACTTGTATAAACCTAAAAAGAAGTTGCAATTTAGTACATCTAAAATACAGTAACTTAATATCTAATATTGAACAACACATTATGGTTAAAATTATAATACATTACATATGCTTTAGTATAATAGTATACATGAAATTAAGTTTACTTAAAGTTGCTGTATGTACGTTTTTGACTCTTCTAAAACATAAACATATCATGATATGTTTGCAGATATTTAAGGAAGATGCCAAGTGAACATTCTTGTTTGTTTGTAAAACAGTGTTTAAGTCAGAATTCTGCTTTAAAAATGTCCTGAACACTGTCTTTGTTTTGTTCTTTTAACCCGCCCACTGCCACTTAAGCTAACTATTTTTCTTCACCTCGGGTTGTCTTGTTGGAAAACCACATATTTAATTTATTTACTCAGAGATGCAGATTCAGAGTTCCACATGTGGTTATTAATTAGAAAATAATATAAATATTACGAACGTAAACATTAGGTGAGCAGGTTACATTGTAACCATGTGTCCTAACAACACGCTATGTGGCGAAATTTGCAGCAATAAGCAATTAGGCTGTTTGCACCAGACGAAACAAGACAGGAATTTAAATACAGGCATTCAGAAGCACAGAATAGTGCACTCACTAACAAAATGGTAAGGTTTATAATCTAATTAATATATAATAAACCTCTTAAACATTATTATATGTACGTTTTATAAGGAGCACAATTTAAATCAGCGTTTAGGCTCGATTGTCAGAATCGCTAATATTTGTCCTCAATCTGGCAACCTGCACTTGCAATTTTTTGATCCAGGAATGCAATACCTAGTTTAACCACTGGATGTCAAACTTACATAACTTTTATTCATTCATTATCTTGTCGGCTTAGTCCCTTTATTAACCCGGGGTCGCCACAGCGGAATGAACCGCCAACTTATCCAGCAAGTTTTTATGCAGCGGATGCCCTTCCAGCTGCAACCCATCTCTGGGAAACATCCACATGCACACACTCATACGGACAATTTAGCCTACCCAACTCACCTGTACCGCATGTGTTACACGGGGAATGACACAAACAACTGAAGTGTGGATCCACGTGCAGGTTTAATCAGTGGTCAGGCAAGCAATGGTCAATACAGGTGCAAACAGGTTTATGGAGACAGTCCAGAATCGTTTTCAAATAACAGGCAAGAGGTCAGAAGGCAGGCGGCAGACGAAGACAAAAGGTAAACAAGGCTGAGGTCAAAGCACAGAGAAACAAGACAAGGAAAACGTGTTGTAGTGTTACTATACAGTTAACAAGACTCGGCAATGGGAGTGAGTGCGTGTGTTGCTTAAATAGTGTGTGCAATCAGTCTCTGACAATCCTCAGGTGGTGTGAGTGTAATCAGTCTAGATGAGGAAGCATGTGTGAGTGTGAGCTAGAGGTCTGCATTTCCGCGGCTGTCCCGCGGGCACTGCGGGACCCGACCAGATTTCTACGGCGCGGGTATAAATTTTCGAATAAATCACGGGAGCGGTCGGTAACGGGTTTAAATTGGGACGGGAGCGGACTGTCTAGCAATATTGCTCCCGACTCCCGAGTGAGCACGCGTATGTATGTGTGTAAATGAAATAGCGCGATGCTGTGTTTAGCTTGTTTGTTGCAGTTTGTGTGTGTGTGTGTGTGTGTATGTATGTGCACGCGCGAATGAGAGATATGTGTGTGTGTGTGCGCGTGCGAGAGCTTTGCCTGTTTGTGCTTGGTGCTTATGAGTGTGTGTTAGAGGGCGCACGCGCGCGAATGAGAGAGAGAAAGCTTAGTCTTTGTGTGTGTGCTTGGTGCTGTGCATGTGTGTTTATACAGACAGCTTGTTATAGGCTGTCTGGACTGTATAA